CGCCAGCCCCCCCGACAGGGGCGGCCCGGGCGGGGCGGCGGGTTTCGGGGCCACCTCTCGCCCACCCTCCGCCAGGCAAGGAGAGGCCTCTCCCGCTTCCTTGCAGCCATTTTGCAAATTAGCCAGCCCTCTCCAGGAAATGGAAGCCGCCGACCTCCCGCCACCTGGTCTTCACGTGGAGGCGCTGGGCGGCCGGCATTTTGAAGCGGCTGTGGGACCTGGGGCAGCACGAAGCCATGGGCCGTTGCCACGTTAGAGCCTTCTGGGCCTCTTCTCTGAGGAAAAGGGCCGCCCCATGGCCACTGGCATCATTGTGGCCCAGCACGGCGGCTTACCTGAGTGAGGGGGACTGTGTGAAGATGGCGCCGAGCAAGCCGGGCAGCGTCTCGACCTCTCACCTGCCTTTATGCACCATTACTGCCGAACGCCCCCTGCTCAGGGATTCCCAGGTTGAGGAGGGTTTCTCACACCAACCTGGCCATGAGTGAAGACGGACTAGCTCTTTGCGAGAGGAAGCCCCGCTTTCCACCAGGCACGATGGAGTCCTGAGGAGGCAGGAACCGGTGTGCGGCAAAGGGCCCTCAGCGCGACGCCATGGCCGCCGTGAAGCAAAGGGCTGCGCTCTGTGGAGGCTGCTTGAGTAACAAGTCATGTTCCTGTAGCTTCACTCTCTGAAGGATTTGTTTCTCCAGGTAAAGTGTTGAGCGTCCTCTCGATATTATCTTTCTTGATACAAAAGAGCGCCGTTAGGGTTTGCTCTGACCAGCTCTTCGCACCTTGGCTTCGTAGCCAGCCTGCTGTAGTTATTACCACCTTTTAGACCCCATGTTCCCATAGCTGACCTCTGGTCGTCATTCCCCGCAGTCTGGGAGTGACGCTGAGCGCTGCGTGGTCTGGCTTTGCCATGGTCGCGGCTTTCCTTCGTCTTCGTTATGTTGGCATTTTTCATCTCTTGATTTCAGTCCTTTGTGTAACGCTGCACTCCACGTTAATGTGGGACTTGGCACTGCCCAAGCTATTATCTGAGCAGCAGATTGGAGCCAGTTATTGAGTATAATACAGTAAGTCCGGGCGTGGTTAATAAATGTCGCTGGTATCGAGCGCTGAATTATTTCTGGAATTTCATTTATGACCAAAAATTGTGATGTGGTCCAAGTGGGGTGAAGCTGAAGACTCTTCTGACTGAGAGGATTCCTGTTTGAAATATGGATACTGAGTATTTTGAATGTTGTCACTTTTTATCATGAAAGTAGGAAATAACACACGCATATCCAACTCTTGATTGAGCCTGTGTCCTGAACTGTGCATATTACCTCTGGTGATTATGAACTTGCCAGCTAACCAGTTTAGTATTGACTTACAGTTCAATAAACACTATCTTATGGTCGTTTGGAGCTCAAAGATGTTTATGGTTTGCGTGGTCTGCTCGCTGGTGTGATAATGTTGAATTCCTAAAGACAAGCCACTCTGCTTATGTAAAACATTTTTTATCTAAACTGAAGTAACTGGAGGGTTGTTCTCTGGTTTCCAATTTGCCAGTGGTATTTGGATTGTTGGGATTCAATATTTGAAGAGTAAAACGTTGAAGGGATTAAGAAATACTGTAAACTACCCATGCCTTTAGTAATTTTAGTAATTAGTGCAGCAAAAATGTCTTAATTCCCAAGAAATGCATGACTTAATCACACCCCATGGTTTCTTCTTGATAAATCAATTATTTTGTCTTATTGTAAAGTGACTTTTATTGTTTACAGTAGCGAATCAGCTCTTTGGAGTGCTCATTGAGGAGAATATTCCACCGATAAGTAGGCATTTTAATACATTTCTCCTCAAAGTCTGCTTTATTACACCTACTATTTTGCTGCTTTCCACAGCAGTAAACAAAATGGCAGTCAAATCCAGTGAGTCATTTTTCAGATGCATTCTAAAATATTCCTTCTCTGAAACTGTTGGCTTTCTTCGTAGTATCAACTCTCTCCAAAGGTGTCTTGAACAAATTACAAAACGTCCCTTCCCAAGCTATAGAAGAATATACGTCTTTTCTTTTGAGATAGGTCTAATAATCAGACTGTTCTTTCTGGGCTTCGCTGTTACTCCGCTCGCAGACAGCTTACATTAGAACAACCCACCCTGCGCCATATTGGAAGAAATCTTCATGACCTCGACTATATTTTAGAAAATTTCATTTACATTGTACAGTGTTTAGATCACATTAACACTGTCAATATTGTTGCAGTAAGTTTTACAACCCAAACAAATACTAGTTTGGAAGTTTTGAAAGGATGAATGCTTTAGTGAATACTTTGAAGAGGGGAAACATCTTTTTCCTGATTACTCATTCCTCGTTTTAGAGTACACAGTCCCTTGGGATGCAGTGGTGTGTGAGTCAATAGTGAGGAGCAGAAAGAGGACTTTTGTGATTGTCAAACCCAGGAAGAGTTGCTTGTGGTTTCAGTGTATTTCCCTGTCATTTAGCAGAAAACAAGGTTTTAAGTTTTAAAAAATCCAAGTGACCTTCCTTTGCCCAGCAGGTCTGTTGTATCCAGTCAAGTCATGCAGTATACCTCTGAGTCTTTTTTGGAAAAAATATAAATATTTAAATTTATTACCTTTTTTTTAAAGTTTCTGATAACAGATTTTCTGGAAATACATATTTTCCAATTTTAATTGCCTTTAAATGGAAATATCTTTACTCTGAAATGAAATAGCTGCAAAATACAGATTTTTGTACAAATTACAAACTCTAAACTGAATGTTTTTGCTAAATATGTGATTATTCATTACTCTTATTGTTTCGCCGCCTTCTCCTATTTCCCATCCCAAGAGAGCAGTGCAAGCAAGGGAGGCATTCCAAGCGCAATACGTCACATTTGAACACTTCTTTTGATTTGGTGGATGCTCTGGTTTCTATGACTTTAATTACAGGAATTATCTCTTGGCCTGAACAAACTTAAAAACGAAACCATTATATTTCAGAAAGCTAAAATACTGTTGTCATAGCTGTGCCATTGATTTGTTACTGATTGTTTAGTCAGTCTGTCCAGTGCTATGCAAATACTGTAGGTACTGTACAGTCAATAATACAGTTCCCCCAAGGAGTGTACAGTCGAACAGTGCATTTTGGCAGCAAGCTCTATGAAAGTCTCTGTAAAGGACCGCATTGTCTCTTGAAGAGGAGGCTGAATGATGGGCGAGAATAATTTGGTAAATGGAGAAATTGAGAGAATTTCTGTACTAAGGTATGAAAACTAAATGAGAAAAGCGTGAAAACAAGGCATGAGGGGGAGGAAGGAGAGAAGGACAAGGAACCAAAGGTGAATGCAAGGAGAAAGCTGTGCAAAGGCTTGGCTGTGTGAGAAAATAGGAGGCAAAAGGGAATATCTTAGCAGCGGCAACTGGAAGTGAAAGCAGGGAACGAGGTAACAAGGTGTCTTATCTCTAACCAAAGAAGGGAGGATGACCAGAACGTGGAAACAGTCAGTGAGGGTGAAAATGAAAGAAAGTATTTCAGTGAGTTCATAAAGGACGAGTTGACAGGAAATGGTGAGTAGCTACAGCAGGAAGAGGAGAGCCACTTCTGACGCCACTGTTCTGGCTGGGCGATAGGCAGGATAACGGGTTTACTAGGGCTTGGTACCGTGATGGCTGTATGCTCACCTATTAGGTCTGAGAGAGCGCTAAAATACCCCAGGAAGCTTGTCAGAAAAATTATCCAAGGTATGAAGTCAAATAGGAGTTGCAAAACAAGATGAGGATGTCCTTAGCATATATACAGCATCTAAAAATTAGACAATAGATGAACATGAAAGGAAAATAGGAAGGTGCCATTTTTTTTGAATAATTGATTTACATTATTTTGTGACAAGAAGAAATAGACTTGGGAAAAGCCCGGTATACTTTGCCCTGTGCCACGCTGTCTTTGAAAGCAAACAAGTAGTTGTGATCGTCTGATTCTGTGCTCAATTAATGTCTTCCTCCAAACCCTTCTTTGGATCTTATAATATGCAATTACTTACCATCAAGAGGAAACAGAATCTGCAATACCAAAGTACAATAAAACAAACAATAGCATATAGAAAAAAAAGTAGTGTTTATTTGTTGGCGTACAGCGTATGCCACGGAATAGAACTTTTCTAGGGTTGAAAGTATATTTTAATGGCAGCTGTTCTGAAACCTGTCTTTACTTCTTACAACTTCATGATTCTGTTTTGTTCTATTAAGTATGGCCAATATAGTTTTGCCTTATTTTGGGAAGGGAAAAAATGAAACTGACAAAAGATATATGAAAAAATGGGTGCCAACTAAGATATATGGAAGACGACATTAATACATTAATACTTCATATGGGAATCCACATGATGCAGTTGTATATACTTGTCACTATCCAGCTAGACTTAGAAAATAAGGAAGTCCCATCGCTTAGCACGTTTGCTTGTCACTTACTTTCAATGGCAAATATTTCATATTAAGTGTAATGTGTGCCCTGCTTCTGTGAGTTGATTCATGGGATCTATTGATTTGAACAGATCTCCATGCAAGTATGAGCATCAGCTCACTGACTGACATCACGTGAGAAAGAGAGATGGAGAAAAAAATGCCTTAAAAATTTAAGCATGGAATGGTGTGTCACAGGAGAAAGAAACAGAGATAGCGTACACCATTGCAAGAAAAAAAGGCGAGTACAGAAATCATCCTGCCAGAGGAGACTTTACTGTCAAAACGTTTCCCTAAACCAGTACAAGCAGTGTTCCATAACGGCAGTCGCTGAAGAAAACCTGGTAGTGAGTAAGACTTTGCATCAGATAGAAGTGGCTCAGAATTGGTTTCTGTTGTGAGTCAGCAAAGGTATGTTTTCCATGGATTATTGTCACAGCCACATAACAGCCACTGTAGAAGAAGCTTTACCAAGACACATGCTTGTTCTGGAACATAAATGATTCTGTAGGGCCTCATTCAAAAAACGTGGAAACGAGTGGAAGTATTCTTTTGACCTCTGTGAATTTAGCTGCCTTCCACACCTGTTCATCTCTCCTTTTTCTGGTTCCTCTTGCTATGCTGTTGTATCATTCACCATCTTATTTTAGGAAACTAGAACCATGTCTGGCAACAAGGATTGAAGCTAATCATTGTTGTGTCTTTTCTTATGTTTCAAATTAAGATAGCTTTGTCTTTGTCTGAACACATTGATTCTTTTGCCAGTACCTCCTGATGACACCAAAAATAACATCTTCCCATATT